CATTGGCAGGAAACTCTCAGATATCCCACGCAGCAATTTTTTCACTGATATGTCTCCTAAAGCAAGGGACATAAAGGAAAGAATAAACAAGTGGGACCTCATCAAAATAAGAAGCTTCTGCACGGCAAAAGAAAACATCAGCAAAATGAAAAGGGAGCCAACGCTATGGGAAAATATATTTGCTAATGATACATCAGATAGAGGTTTGATCTCCAAGATATATAAAGAACTCACTCGACTCCACTCCAAGACAAACGATCCAATCAAAAAATGGGCAAAGGACCTGGGCAGACGCTTTTCCAAGGAAGAGATACAGTGGGCCCAGAGGCATTTGAAAGGATGCTCAGCATCACTAGGAAAGAATTGTTTTTAAAGTAATGGGAGTTACTGGAGAATATTTTCTAGGCTGAGTGGAATAATCCTGTAAAATTAGACCATCTTCTTAAATCAGAACTTAAACCTATCTTTAGTCTGATTTAAAATCCTTCTGGTTCTTTGACCTATAAACTTGGACATTATAAAAATGTAAATTAGTAAGATATTAGGAATTTTTTAAACACCTGAAATTTAATATTCAAATATTTTATTATAACCATGTTAGAAAAACATAGCAAAAATAAATTTTAATAAATCAGTTTTTCCAGGGAAAATTTATGTTCATATAATTCATATTAACATATAATATATAATTATATGAACAACTTATGTTCATACAATTCATAAAATCTGCACTTAAAAATATCATTAATTACTTTAAAATTTAAGTTTAAAGCAATTTTTCTAGGCCATGTTTATCAGAGGGAAAAAAGTAATTTAGCCAAACACGTAGTTTGGCACGTAGTCATATAGTTGTATATTACTGGCAAATTGTATGCTCAATGTAAAAATAGAGACTATTTGGTATTTTTCTTTAAATACTGTGTGGGTTACTTGTTGTTTTATGGTTCGCTTCTGAGTTGACTGGACCTGATGCAAATTCTTTCTCTGTAATTCTGAGCCTTATTTGTGTGTCTGAGTGCCTGTGTGTATGTGTGTGTGAGAGAGAGAGACAAAGAGAAGGAGAGAATGGGGAAAATAATAACTTCTTAACAGAAATATAAAGGCCTAAGATAGTGTCAAAGCTGCTAAGTACTAAAATTTATAGACACTTAGTAAGACACAGTTCATTGTTATTACTGATATTCTTTTATGATCATTGTCATTAGTATTACTATTATATTGATGAAATTAAGGAACCTATATACCATAGGAGAACTTTATTTCTACTCATCATAAGAGAAATAAAAATAAATCAATAAATTCAAGTCATTACAAAACAAAAACTTTTTAGAAAAATTTTCTTAAACATAATCAAGTCAATAAGTATTATATTAAAGACTTATAATGTACCAAGCTTCTGCATGTGTATGTGGGAGAGGGGAAGTGGGTGATTTGGTTTTTAAATTAAGAATAGAGAATGACACCATAAAAGTCCAAGAGGAAAACATAGGCAGGAAAATTTCAGATATCCCATGCAGCAATATTTTCACCAGATACATCCTCTAGGGCAAGGGATATAAAGGAAAGAATAAACAAATGGGAGTATATCAAACTAAAAAGCTTGTGTATGGCTAAAGAAAACATCAATGAAATGGAAAGGGAACAAACCAGATGGGAAAACATTTGCCAATGACACCTCAGACAAAGAGACTTGATCTCCAAAATATATATAGAACTCACATGACTCCACACCAGGAAGACAAACAATCCAATTAAAAAATGGGTAAAGGACCTGAACAGACACTTCTCCAAGGAGGACACACGGAGGGCCCATAGACACATTAAAAAAATGCTCAACATCACTAACCATCAGAGAGATGCAAATTAAAATCACAATGAGTTAGCACTTCACACCAGTCAGAATAGCCATCATAAACAAATCAACAAACAAGTGTTGGTGAGATTGTGGGGAAAAGGGAACCCTAGTACACTGTTGGTGGGAATGCAGACTAGGGCAGCCATGGTGGAAAATAGTATGGAATTTCCTCAAAAAGCTGAAAATGGAACTGCCTTTCAATCCAGTAATCCCACTCCAGGGATTATACCCTAAGAATCCCAAAACACCAATACAAAAGAACCTATGTACCCCAATGTTCATAGCAGCATTATTTACTGCAATAGCCAAGTACTGCAAACAGCCTAAGAGTCCACAGTAAATGAGTGGATCAAGAAACTATGGTACATTTACACATTGGAATACTACATAGGAGAAAGAAAGAGCTACTACCCTTTTGCGAGAGCATGGATGGAACTGGAGAGCATTATGCTAAGTGAAATAATCCAGGGGGTTAAAGACAAATACCATATAATCTCACCTGTAAGTGGAACCTAATCAACAAAACAAACAAGTGAGCAAAATAGAATCAGAGACTTGGAAATAAAGAACAAACTTGGCAGTGACCAGAGGGGAGGAAAGAGAGAGATAACAGGGTAAAGACTGGGAAGGGGCAGCAAAGGAACACAAATAGAGAACTCATGGCCACAGACAATCGGCGGGGGATTGACTATGGAAGTTGGGGAGGGGATATGGGTAAGCAATGGGGAAAAAGGTGGGACAGCTGTAACTGAACAATAGATTTTTTAAAAAAGAAGAAATTATTTGAAACACACTAAACATTTACAAATTAAATTTTATATAATGACTACTTAATGGTTGGTACTATACAACAGGAAATAAGAGAAAGAAATAGGATAAAATAGGTTGGAGAAAAACAAAAACATGCCCCCCCCCAAAAAAAATAGCAGTATAAGAAAGGAGAAACATAGAACAATTGGAAATAAAGACAGGTTAAAAAAAAAAAGGCCCACGTAAATGAGTTATCCCAAAGTCACAGCTTAATCTTCCTCTAAAATATATTACTCTAGAAGATCAGAGTTTATTCTTTCTAGTAGTGATTTTTTTTTCCTGCCTAACTTATAATAATAGAGTCTTCTCTCCTAATGACCTTACTAACAAAGAGTGTGGCAGAGAAATGGCTCCCTGGATTGCAGTAGTAGTTACCAGGGTGGCTATCTTTCCAAAGGCTGTAAATAAGTTAATCTAAAATCCAGATTTTGTCTTTGCCTAAGAGTTACATGTTTCCTTCTTGCCCTTCTCCACATTTTCATTTAATATGAGCTTTTCCCTTAACCTAATTGTTGGGTTGACCAACCTTTCTCAATCCATCTGTAAGACACGCTAGCTGAGCTCACTGCTCAGGGCTCTCAGAGGACACCAAGCAGACCAGCACAGGCTACTCCGTCCATCCAGCCAAAGTCCATGTTCACAAAGAGTCAAAGGAGTTTGTTCCTAAATCTCCTTGTAAGCCAGATATGTTTGCTATTGTAATGTAATCAAAGATTGATCAAGGTGATGTAATGTTAGTGTGACAGGAAAATGGCTATCGACAAAAATTAACACTATGGAAAGGTAGAGGGATCTGCCAAGTGACTTGAAGTTCTTGTCTCAGATTAAAAAATATACAAAATTGAGGCCCTGGCTGGTGTGGGTCAGTGAGCTCAGTGCCAGCCTGTGAACCAAAGGGTCACTGGTTCAATTCCCAGTCGGGGCACATGCCTGGGTTGGGGGGCAGGTCTCCAGTAGGGGGCATGCAAGAGGCAACTACACACTGATGTTTCTCTCTCTCTCCTTCCCTTCCACTCTCTCTAAAAATAAATAAATAAAATCCTTAAAAAATCCACAAAATTGAAATTGTAGAGGATTACTTGTATAGTTTATGCAAGTAATATGGTGTAAAATTCCAATCAACACTTACTTAAGCAAAAAAAGTGCCATGGCCTTATATCAAAACATTTGCATGTGAATGTTAATGCACTAAGTCACAATAAAATACTGAAAGTGTGAATGTAACCATTTTTATGGTTCCCTTTACTAACTGAATTTTCAATTCATCAACCTACCAATTTTGATCATGGCAGGTAAGGACATATCTGCCATGCTCTGAAGTAAGTTATCATAGACAATATTCTTGCTACATGAAAATTATCAAATAGGGTTTAGAAACTAGATTACATATAGTCATCAAGAACAGGGGAATCTTTGCAAATGAAAATAACTATCACAGGTAAATCAATATATGTAAGGTATTACAGTTGGTTAGCATTCTATTCTGAGACATTTGTCCTCATTAAGCATAACATAAGCAATTACATAATGTTTGCCATACATTTTTGTACAAATTTTATATTAATGAAAATTGATGATATAAACTTGGGATTATATGAACATGTGTAAGAAAATAATATTACTTACCTAAACCATAATCAAAATTATATATCCTTCATAATCTAAGAAAACTGACCACTTAACAAATATTTTAATGTACCACAGAACTACTAATGTTTGGTACTTTATCCAAACATTACTCTAGGCATGATAGATGTGTATTTATAGATTCTCTACAAAGAAACACTTTCTCAAAAACTCTGAATAATAAGAATATTATAAAATTAAAAATGTTTTCTATGAATATAAATATACAGATTCATTAAATAATGCTTTTTAATAAATACCAAGTAATAAATTTTGTCTTTAAACCAATGGGTCACAAAACTATGGTCCTCAAAACAAATAAAACTAATGATTTGTTAATGATAAAAAATTCATATATTGCTAAAATGTAAGTAAAATAAACAAATGACTTGCATAGTTGCTGAGGTATTATCTTTAAAATAAATCCTACAAACCTCTCAAAAAATGATTTGTGTCTTAAGGCAGAGCTGCAACCTCTACAATAAATAGGCACAATAGTGCATTTAAGTGTTTACTGCCACCAAGTGCCTAAACCAATTAGTCTGAAGATTTTTGCAAAAGCTACAAGCAGATTCTTTCACTGTTACATTAAGAAATTTGCAAACAGGCTAAGAGCAAACTATTTCAACCATAAATGGCTGTAGGAGAACCACAATTTAGACATGATAATAAAGTCTCAAAGACATTAATAAAATATTGAAAATCCTACCAGCTCACTGGAAGTTGATGAAGTTTAAATATGGTGCTCAGCCTGTAGTCAAGTTTTGCTGGAAAATTACCTTCTTTATGTAAATACAGATTTGGATTTGGTTGCATATCTGTAGGAAATTGTGAATCCTAGAGAAAAAATAAATCAAGAGTTTCATGTAAAATAGCCACATCACTGTATACACTGTTATCTTATTTAATATTAAATTACAACATAAACATTATTATTATATTACTTCAGGACTTACCTTAAGTCCTTCATTTCCTAGTTTATTTTTAAGAAAATATGCAAAGAAGATAAAATTTTAAATAAGGCGCGTATTTTTTTGTACAAGCCTAAACTGAATGCTGCATGATAAAAATTATTTGAAAACATTCCTTTAGTAAATTACAATGACGCACAATAGGTGTAGTCTCATTATTCAATTGTCTTTTTACAATAAGTTTCTATTACCAACAGTAATGTCAGCAAAAATCTGTGATTTTTCTTATGCTGCATTTGTACTCTATAAATGGAGAACAAAAAACACTTTCATTGGTTAACAAAATAATAACAATTGCTAATTGATTAATTATGATTTTCTTCTTTTAAATCTCAGGTCACAGTGCTAACTTAAAGTCACTTACTGAAAGTAAAAGATTTCTTTCATAATCCTATTAAATTTCACATTCATTAGAATCCATGTGTGCCATGTGTTAGCCAGCTCCCTCACCACCAAGCAAACTCTATCTATAGAGATCAAAGACCGTTTTCAGTCCATGAGAAAGTAGTTTCTCTTCAGTGGAAAGATGACATGCTATAAATAGGCACTTAATCAACACTTAATGATGGATGACTTAATTGCTCAACTCTACAAAAAAGGAAGTACTCAATCCTTTTACATTTAATGCTTTAAAATTGCTTTTAGAGAGTGAGGCATATCATTCATTTGTGCATACATTCATTTATTCAAAAAAGAGTGAGTGGGTAGAGCAATGGGGGAAAACTGGGACAACTATAATTGGACAAAAATAAAAAATAGATTTATAAGTGGTACTTTATCCAAACATTACTCTAGGCATGGGGAATTCACCAATCAACCAAGCAGATAAAAAGTCTTGCCCTCATGGAGACTGAATTGCAATAGATTCTTTAATAAATTCCCAGAGCTGAAAAAATGTATAAATAAATTATTTTTCCAATTAACAAAGTAATAGATATTCATATATAAATTTCACGCTTTTTATCACATTACAAAGAAAAAATTAAAAGCAATCTTATTCTCACCATCCAGATGTAATTATTAATAACACTTTGGTTTAATAATTTATCTGTCTCTTTTTCTCATGTTTTACAAAATTGAGATCATGCTCTTTTATCCAACCTCTAGTTTTCAGAGAGCATTGTATCACTGCATTTTCATATTACTTACTTTGCTCTGAAGAAATGATAAATACCATGGTTTATTTAAGTCAGTATTTTTGTTTCCCTTATAATTATCAATGCTATGAACAGTTTTCTTTCTCTAAATCTACATTTCACTGATTATATACCTTAAAGCAGTTCTAGAAATATACATAAATAATTCAAATAAAATAAATATTTAACACAGAGTGCTCTTCAGAAATATTATATGAATTTATAATCCTGCCAGTCATTTATTACTGTGTGCATTTCACCGTGTCTATGTTAAATGTGCACATGGCATGCATGCACACACTCATGTAAAATAACCCATTCAGTAATTATTTGACTAATATATATTATTGAGTGTCTTTTTCATGACAGGAACTGGTTTCAGCTCTTACAAAATATCACTGAAAAAAAAGCAGACAAAATTCCCTCACTTGTGGACTTTGCATATCAGTACAAGAACACCATAGACAGTAAACCTAATACACATAAATTATATCTATACAGTAAGAGCTCTATGGAAAAAAATGGTTACTAATTCATTATAAAACTGTATTCATTCATGTTTCTTAAGTTAAACTTTTTCTGTATTTCTCCTTCCTTTTTGGGCTTCATTTTTCTGAACTGCATATGTATACCTTTTACCCAGTTTTTACTATTGTGATGATACTTCATTTTAACAATGTAGCTTGGGTTGGAAATGGAATGAGGCTAAATTATAATGTTGAAAAATACAGCAAGGTGGATCAGAACCCAGTCTTATATAATTTTAGACTACATGAAAATACCTAGAACCATAAACTTATTACCTACAGCAATTTCTACAAGCACTGTTAAACCAATCATTATATAAAATTAATAGGCATTCAATAAAATTTAATCAACTGGGTCTAATAAAGCCTAATCAACTACAACCAATTTTAGTGTAGGTGATAAGACTATAGGAAATACAATAATAACTGAACAATTATTTAAAAGATAATATACAAGATCAGCAAAGGCCTACTAATAGCAACCCTATCTAAATATATGGCAGAGGGAAAACAGAAGACCTCTTACATCACCAGCCTATGTACCGAAACATTCCAGAAGACAAAAGCCAGTAAATGGGCTGGCAGGATCAGTAAGGTAAATATGGTGAACATAAGTAAAGAAATGCATAGTGAATAGAGGGAGTAAAGTAAGTCTTAAACAATTCTTCCAAACTACATAATCGCTACCATTTCTTTGTATTGACAATGTACAATTGGAGGACAAGATAACTGTCAATAATATGTTGTGACAGGTCATTGTTTTGCAACTCTGACTACACATTGAAATCACCAGGCAGTTTTTAAAAAATACCAATATCACTGAGTACTCACCCCCAGACCAATTAAGTCATAATTTATGGGGTGAGGCACTGACATTTATGTTAAAGCTTCATGTGTGAAATAAAAGTCAGGGTTGAAAATCCTGGCTTTCCCTAGTGACTAAGCGCTACTGCACACCAGTATGTAAATTCCTGCAAGCTATTTAACAAACTTTCTGAGCTGTATTTTCCTATCTGTAGCTTATAACCAAAATCATACCTGATTCATAGGTTGCTGTGGAAGATAAAGTAAGATAATCCCTGTAAAGCCCACATCTCATGCTTGGCACCTAATAAACCCTTAATGAATGTTAAGTATTTCTATGGATATTTTTATTATTGCTGCAATTAGTGTGGCATGTTAATTTCAACATTAGTAAATCCATTGAGTTACTTTATACTTTACTTATTTATTATAAAATATTCTATCTTAATCAAATTCCAGACTTAATATTCTCCTGGGGTATTAATTAAAGCAGACTCAAATATGATCTCACCTGTCAGAAGTCCCAAATCTAGTTAACTGATAGCTATCTCTATTTGTCCCAGAATCAATAATAAAAGGGATTCTGCCTTCATTAGCCAGTTGGGATTAAATATAATCTTGCTGTTTATGTTAAAAGAAAGACCTGAGAGGTACCTTTCTCTCCACTTCAGTGATACACCAATTAGGCATCTCCTGTGTTATCCTAATTGAGAAGCCAACTATCTATTTGGCCTCCTTCCCCATAAGTTTCTTGGGTACCCAGGTTTCTCCCATACCCTATATCCATGCCATTCAACTCATATCTGCTTCTCTATCTTGTTCTTTGCTTTCCAGTGAACTCACATTCATGGGAATTACCCAGACTAGTTTAGAATATGAAGTTCAAAATGCTTCACCAAACACTTGTATATCTATCCTATATCAGTCATGATGTTAGCACCAGACAACAGACCACAAATATAATTAGAATACACCTTCCTTCTACTCCAAGGACTCGCAGTCTTATAAAGAAAAAGCTTAAATTAAAAAAAAAAATCAATGATAAATGCTACAGTGGAAATACGCAAAAGATATTAAGGTTAAAGAATGAGCAATAAAACTATTGAAATGAAGTAGACAAAAGTATTGATAATTTCCCGATTTGCAGCATTTTTATAATATTAGATATTAAAAACAATTTAATGGTGTATCAATATGTTGGGTTTTTTAAATTATAGTATTATTCTTATATACTACATTAAATAAAATGAGGTATATGCAGGGCCGATATAACCCTAGTGCACAAGCATGCTCTTTTTGGTTGTTAAAATACCAAAAGATATTCATACTACTTGGAAAATAGCTAATACCTTGAGCACAGTCTCTGTGCTCCTCTCACTCACACAACCCTCGCCCCTTCTTTGGGTATGAACCCCTGCCCCGGAGGTATTCACCATTGTGCCGTAATTAAGGTAACTCCTGGCAGATCTGGGTCCCCAGGACCTTACTCCCACCCTATATTCAGCATATACGCTGATTATGCCCATCACGCATTCTGATTGGTCAGCGCTCATGCTATAATGGTTGTTAAATATTTTGAGTATAACTCTGAATTTATATGTACTTACAGGGAAGTATCTCTATAATATGTTATTAACTTTAAAAAAGAAATATACAGAATAGCATATAAACAAAATTATTCCATTTTTATTAAATGAAAAGGATCTATGTATGTAAATGTTTATATGTATGTATATACTTTTAGAGCACATTTTTTAAAAAAAGAGAGAAAACCTTTGCAAGGGTTGCCAATGGATGTAGTAAAGGACCTGACCAAAGGAAAGAAAATTAATTGCTTTTTATATTATACTTTCCTTTACTGTTTGAATGTTTACCATATGTATGCATTATTTTTACTTGTTTTCAAGTAAAGTAACATATGTAAGGAAAATAGTCCTGCACATATTAAATGCTGTCAATTGGTATCGAGCTAGTATTTTCAAACCATGGTTTAACTAGCTATGATATGGTTAAAAGCCTAGGTTTAAGAAACAATTCAGAATAAAACAAGTTTGCTATGTGTAACAGAGACTATTAAAAACTCTTCTACATTTCCCAGCCTTCCTTGCAGTTAAACTGAGTTAAGTGATTCGGTTCTGAAAACAGAATGTGAGTAGAAATAACGTAAGCCATCTCCAGTCTTAACCATTAAACATTCCAGCGTTGTTCACCATTTCTCTTCCTTCAGCACTATGCTTTTAAAGAACTATGTCCTGGACGGTGTAGCTACAAAGTGGCTGCCCATATCCCTGAGTCATAAACAGAAGAGAACCATGCAGAGGACTCACACCACCACCAAGTTAAGAATGAATCTTCGCTGCAAAAGCACTTGGGGTTTGGGGGCCTATCTCTTGCAGCAG